AGGCAGTAAAACCTCAATTTCAAAGAAACGATCCGTTAACAGCGCAGGCAGTAATAGAGGAAGTAAATCGGCTATTAATCGTCCAGTAAGTGCCAAAAGTAGTAGACAAGGTAATAAATCAGGAACTGCAAATCGACCGATTTGCGCAAAAAATAGTGGACAAGTTAGTAGATCGGGATCAACAACACGAACGGTGAGCGCAAAAAATAGTAGACAGGGCAGTAAAACAAGGCTTAATAATCGTCCTGTAAGTGCAAAAAATAGTCGACAAGGTAGTAGAACGAGACTAAATAATCGACCGGTAAGCGCCAAAAATAGTAGACAAGGCAGCAAAACAGGACTTGCAAAACGGCCAACGAGTGGAAAAAATAGCAGACAAGGAAGCAAAGGGTCTGTAAATCGGCAAGGAAGTGCGACAAATAGTAGACGCGGCAGCAACAGTACATCTAATCCTCCATTCAATCGCTTCGTTAATAGCAATAAGTGTAATTGTACAGGCAGCCGCCCCACCAGTGCTACAAATAGTAAACTAAGATTACCTGGAAGTGGTTTGGCAAGTTCAGTCGGTAGTAGACAGGACGCTCGTTTAGCAAGCGGCAGAGGCAGCGATTGTTGTGACAATCGGCAAGAGATTAGATGTAGCACTCCCGGCAGTCGCCTTGCAAGTGCGCCTTGCAGCCGCGTCGGCAGCGCTCCTGCCAGTACACGTTCCAGTCGATTGTCACTTGAACGGATCAGTACAAGCTTTAAATGCTTACGATCCAAGTGCTGTAAAAGCAAACCAAAGGTTCCACCCGAGTGTCCACCCGTTGTGCCTTGTGAAGATCAGAGAGTGTATTCTAGTCCACAAGAAACCGAATCAGACACAAAGGAACTATGTTCTCCAGATAAATCAAATACCGAGACCGAAGTTGCATTAAGTAGTGACAAAACAGAAAGCAGACCTAATAGCAAGCAAAATTTCAAACCGGGTTCAGAACGGGAAATCAATAATAATAAATTTTCGAGCGTTCAATGCATCAAGCAGAATAATCAACAAGGATCAAAACGGGAGATTGGTATTGAATTTCTCTATGATAATTTATATTATGCCTCTAAATTTGATCTTTGCAGGTAACAAAAAGCCAGCTAGCGCTCAGGAAAGTAAAGACAACACTGCACAAAAAAACAAATACTCCGACAGTAAATCAGGAAGTGCACAAGGTAGCAGACAGGCTAGTAAACCAAGTTCTGAACGAGAAATAGGTAATGAAATTAAAATAGTATAATATCTCATCGTAATAAAATTTAACTGTAATAAATTAGGTTCAATTAAATATGTGAGTGAGTTTAAATAAGATAAAGTAGGCCTGTTCTGAAAAATGTTAAATTTTTCTTTAATTTTTAATGTTGGTATCTAGTTGTCACTGATAAGACCAAATCGCCTTCTCGTAATAATTCAACTACAAGTGCCGCGTTCGATCCATGCTCTAAGCCCATTCCTCCTTACAAACCGTGTGTTAAAAAATCTGAAGAATTTGAACATCGACATAGTCGAGAGTCTTATCGGACAGAGTCAAATTTTGAAAACCGATGTGAAGGCCAGAAACAAGAAGAAGAGGATAGCCCTGTCGGGGTTGGTCGACAACAGTCTAAACAAAAGAGTAAGGAATCGGCAAAAATATCTAGGGATACACCATCATATGCTTCTAAACCGGCATCTGGTGCCAAACCGCCAACTGCCTCTAGAACTACATCTGCTTCCAAACCGGCTACTGAATCTAGACCGACATCTGCAGCTGGTTCACGCACTAGCGGTTTAGGCAGGCCTTGTGGTGTACCGACGTACGACGATTTTGAACACGTGCACTCCACAGGTAAATGTGATACACAAGTCAATTATTGCTGAAAATCGTCATTATTGAGTTCGTCAGGATGATTTTATAATACAAGACTATTATTTGAAAAATATTATTAAATAGGTAAATATCGCACGGACTCAAATTTCGAAAACCGATGTCCACCGCCAGAAGAAGACACTGAAAACGACATAAAGCCATCTTCAGCCAAATCATCTCGAGAATTGGCTCGATCAGGAATTGGAGGCAAACAATCATCGATCCTAAAGGCGACAGAAGTAAGTTATAAAAATCAATATCCTAATAAATCAAGCTCTTATGAATTGTGTTAACATTTATTTAAATTCTTTTTTTTTCTAGAGTGGTAGAAATCGACAAGCAGACGCTAAACAGAAAGATAAGCGTGATTTATCTGACCATAAAAAATCATCTCTGTCAGAAGAGCGGATTAAAAAGCCCAGTGTAAGAAAATTTTTGTTATCATTCAAAGAAAATTGCAACATGTATTTTTTAATTTTATTTTAAGTATTTTGATTTAGTCTGACAGCGATAGAAATAATCAAAGAGTTGACTGCAGAAAGATTGGAACCAGATCCGAATCTCTTAGCGGTCCTAGGACAGAATCACACAGAAGCAGAGATATAAGATCGTTGTCTGCTGATGGTGTACGAAAAACAGTATGTATAATAATTATAAGCCATATTTTACACCATAACTTTTATCAATCTGCATAGAATTAAGTAATAGCTACATAATAATAATAATACTAAATTATAATTATATTTCAAATAATTAATTTTAAGTAGTTAGTGTATTTTCTCTTTCAAACAACTGATAAATTGTTTATAAAATTCAGCATATTTTTTATTGTTTGAGTTAAAGATAATTAGATATATTGTTATATTTTCATAATTAAATAGAGAGATAGAAGTTCTGATTCGGACGGTGAAAGCAAAAGTAGAAATAAGCGACAGGAGCAAGACGAAATTTCTGCTTCAGCAAGCAGGACTAAATCTGCAACAAGATCTAATACGCCCAATACACCCAAACGTACATCTTCCGCAAAGAAAACAAACGGTCAGTAAAATTGATAATTTAATAATTACATTAATAACTATTTTATCGAATCTATAAGTGTGAAAGAAATTCATTTCTTATAATAAATATATTTCGTAGATTTTGTTCCAAAGTGTGCACATCCCGGTGGAGTAATTCCTCCGAAAAAGAGATCTGCATCAGCAACTTCTGCAAGATCTAGTGGAAACAGGTAGTTACAAATTAATTTGTTGAACTACTAATAGCCTACTTATTGTGTGTCATATTTTCAGAGATATTTCTCCTATAAAAAACAATACAACTGGAACAGGTACTAGAAAAAGCGATTACATACAAGCGGCTGACGCCAATATTCAAGCGAACGCTAAGAGGGCTAATAAAAGACCCACCTCTGCTAATTCGGGTGGAAGTAAAGGTCCAAAACGACGGAAACTCAGTAACGGAGGAGTTGCAGCAGGTGCTGATCGAAGACCAGGAGCGGGAAACGCGGCGTCAGTTCCGAGGGATTTATACATCCCTAAACCAGCCACGTATCCACCACCCACTATCACGAGGACAGCGAACAAGCCTCCGGCGATACAGGTAATTTTGCGAATATTGTGTAATTAATTATTATAATTATAGAAATACTACTTATTTTAAGAATCAGTTACAGTTCTATGCATAAATTTTGAAAATACTGTATAGGAAAGAAGATGGGAAAATATTATATGCCCATTATAAATATTGAATATATTTCTATTACATTAGGTATACGTAAAACCAGTTAAAAGAACAAATAGCTGTCCCAAACCCAGTAGATTAGCCGGCAGTGCAGACACTAGTTCACATAGCTCCATTTCAAGCATCGAAAGTTATAGTTCTGGTACCAGTATAGAAGAAGTTTAAACTAGCGAAGTCAATAAATATAAGGTAGGATATATTAATAATTACAAAAATGTTATGGTCAATATTTTAACAAAATTATTCTGTTTAAAAGAAAATCATAAAAATATCACTTTATATCACAATCACCCTTAAAAAAATTTCTTCTGAAGAAATATTTTACACTTTGTTTTAAGCCTATTGTAGATGATTTCCCGAAGGAGAAGTTTATGTTTTCATAAAAAAATCCGATTTGCTAATTTTATGTTTTCTCGACGTTTCAAGCCATTCTGAATCGAATGAGACCAAACTTGGGAAAAGTATGTGTGTGTGTATGCGAACAGATTTTTGACGTAAATCGATGTTTTCTCAAAAACGGCCGGACCTGTTTCAAAAATTTAAAAGACATCCGATGTATCACGACGAGGAATATTATTTGTCAGTTTTGTGCGACGATCGGCCGAGCCGTTTCTTTATAATTTTGAAAAAAGTGTTAAACTTTTCGACTACATTTAAGCTCATACTACCGAATCGATTTAAAAAATATTAGTATTAGTATTAGTATAAAAACTGTTCGAAAGATATTAGTTGGGAATGGTACTGATTAGTTTTAGGTGAAAATATACCGAGCCATTTTCTTGTAATTAATTGTTGAAAAGAAAAAATTAAGTCGGTTTTTATGGAACTTTTTTTAGCGATAAATATGATGGTCTAGATGGACCAGAGTTGAATTTTTAAAATTCAACAATGTTTGAGAAAAGGGTAGTTTTTTTGACTTTTGTTAAAATTGAAATTAGACGTTTTACTTGATATAGCGATAGAGTACTTGGTCTTAATGAACATACTGAACCTTTAAAGTCCTACGGAAACTGGTTCAATTAAAAAAATTATTGATTTGTGAAAATTTGCTTTTAGAAAATACACCGAGTTAAGGTGTTCGTTCGTTTTCAATTAGGTTTAATAAATCCACTCGGAACACTTTTAATCACTCATAAGTTAATTAATTTTTTATTGATTAAGTCGATTATTTACACATATCGGGAAACTTGTGTAACTTGCCTCAAGGCACAATAGCAATGCCAACTAGTTTAATCTACTATTTTTAATATTTCAAATATAAGATATAAGATAAGATAAGCCAATTCACCAATGCTAATTATGTGTAAATGAATATTTATATTTTTGTAATTTGGTTAGTTTCAGAAGGTTTTCCACATTAACACATTTTTGTTATTAGTCAAGATGAATACAGTAGTTCTGGACGATTCCTGGCGTGCCCTAAATAAGTTAAGGGCGCGCGTCGGCCGATCCGATGTCAATCTATTTGCTGCTTTTAACACTCACGATAAGGACAAGACAGGTTTATGCAGCGAAGCTATATTTGCTCATGCTTTGTCGTCGGAATTAGAAACTGAATTGACCGATAGAGAAATTGGAGAATTGGCTGATCTGTTCAGGATCCAGGATGGACGTATCGAGTAAGGAGAAACATAATTATACAAATTAGAAATATTTGCTTCAATAATAATATTTAACAGGAGAGAATTGTATTGAATTGGAACTGAGATGTAAAAAGATGATTATATTTATTTTACATAATGTATTTTTTTTATAATTTTAGTTATGGACAAATGTGTGGCTTGGTACATTCCCATACGCCAGAAATTGTTGGAAAACCAACACCAGTTTTGAAACCGGTAGCTGATTGGACAACCGAGACAGAACCCAACCGCTTGAGCCAAGCGGAAGAGAAACATGTTTTGTTACTTCTTAACAAGTTTGCTGCTGAATTAAGGTAAATGATTAACAAATTAAAAATAGCTAATAATACTTTATTAAAAAAACTAGAATAAATAAAATGATGTATTTTTTCAGAAGTCGCGAAACTATCCAACGTCCCTATTTCCAAGATTACGAGCTCGCCTTCAAGCCTGATTCCAGGTGCACTCTTGCTCATTTTGCTAGAGCTATAGCATCTCGAGGTTTCAAGATCTCGTCTAAGGAATTTTCATTGCTGGCCAGGAGATATGCCTGTGGTCCACAGTCTGTCAGTTATGCAGCCTTTTCGAAGGCTTTGGATGACGCCATGAGAGACATGGATGCCAAAGGCAACTACCTTCTGGGCGGAGAAGTCGTTGAAAAGTTTCCTGGAAAATTAGATGACATAAATGTAAGTAGTATTAAAAATAAAATTATTAATAAATATATAATTATAATTATTACAAAATTTGTCTATCAGCTGCCAGTGTTCCCGCGTGTCCAAACCGATCACACCAAAGCCTACTCAGTGTTCATGTGTGATCCCAAGAAAGTGTTTCACGAATCGCTGAATGCTGATCGGGTTCACAAATTAGTATTAGCAGCCATCAAAAAATTACAACGGCACGTCAAGTTAAACAATTTAAGAGTCTGCTCGTATTTTTATCCAGAAGCAGATCCCATGAAAAGAGGAAATTGCAATCAGGTAATAACATTTGAATTTCATAAAAATTATAAGTTGAAGAATGATTAATCATGTTAATATTTTATGCAATTGTATGATAGACTTTTCACTTATCATGCCAAATTTTAGAATTTTTGCATATACTTTTATTTGATTATACTATTTATCTTACTCCAGTCTCATTTTCGACGAGCCTTGGAACGAATGCTGTGTGGTCCAGAAGTTAAGCAACGATGTTACGTAAGTCCCCAAGAAATGGATCACATCATAATGCAATATAGAGATCCAACTGATGAATTTAGAGTGTGCTGGGATGTTTTCACTGATGATTTGAATAAAGTTTTTGAAGAAGACAATGCACATGAAAAACCAAAAATGGTACATCATTTGAAGTTAGCTTAAATTTATATTTTTATTAACATTGTTTTTATTTTATATGTCAATATAAAGTTTCCTTCTAATGAAGTTTTAACTGAGGCACCACCTGAGAAAGTAGTTCCGCCTTGGCAACTACCTGAACCAGTTCCAGTTCCAGGTTGGCTGCAAGTGGTATGTAAAAAATTAAATAATTATCTGAATTCCGATATTACATTCTTTTAGAAATTCGATTAAGATTTGTACTTTTTTAATCTGAATTTAATTTTATTCATCTAGGTAAAACGTGTACTGACTGTCGCAAGAAGAAGAAATTTGACTTTTGATCAAGTTAAGCGTCCTTTCAATCATTATGATGACAGAGACAATCCTGATGGCGCAATCGGTCATGTAAGCAGGGACCAAATGAGACAATGCTTTTTGGTGAATATTTTTTTAATTTATTCATATTGTAATTATTATTCACAAATAATAGTTTTTAGTACTTTATTGATATTGAATTTTGAATATGATTTTATATTTTTACAGGATCTTGGTATACTGCTATCAGCTTTAGAACTATCAAGTTTAGAAGATCACTATAATGATTCTATATCATTTAATTATTTCTCTTTAATAAATGATCTGATGAACGAAGCGCATCGTGAAGAAGCCTATCAAAGGGCTATTGAAATTAGCCAACGGACATCGGTAAATATCTAACAAAACTGGCGATTTTATTTATTTTTTCAGTCATCTTTAACTGAATATCTTATGCTATTATTTACAATTTTCAGACAAATTTCTACAAAGAAGAACAAATGAAACGAGCTCAAAGTGAAAAAGACAGAGAAAATGATGTAATCTCAGTTATGGCTAAAATAAAATTCAAAAGCGTAAATGATAATAAACCGATAACACAAAAGGTAAATTTTATTAAGTATTTTTATTATATAATAATTATTTATGTAATGATTTTTTAAAAATTATATTGTGTAACAGTTGAGACAATTTGCGAAAAATTCGACAAGAAGTAAAATGACTGAAGAAGAATTTTACACTGTTATTCAGTCTTGTAAATTTTCTTTGAATCCATATGAGATGTCGACGCTCTTGAAGGCTTTTGCTTATCCTGATTGCAGCAAAACTGTATGCTCTTATATTTCGAGATTTTACGTGTTATACTATTTTATTCTGATTTCATTACAAATTGAAGTTATTCCTTCAGTTATACATCTTTTTAACTTTTTGGAAATTTTAGGTGGATTATGAAAAATTTTGTGCTCTTCTTGACGAAGCTGAAACAAGTATTTGCACTGCTGAAACTTTTGCCCAGCATCCTGTAGATCATGAAAAACAGTGGCTTAATTTTGAACAAAGACATATATTCTCTGTAGCAATGCAAAAACTAGCCGACCATAGGTAATAGAAAATAGAAACAATTAAATCTGCTTTATGGTTTATGGGTTGCAAAATATTGAGATTTCAAATAATAAAAAATACTAAATTAATTGTTATTAGCATCTTATGTTTTATGTTCTTCATGAAGATTTTGTTTTAATATCGTTGCGTAAGAGTACATATAACTGTTTGGATGATTTTGACGATGCGATTCATTTGACTAATTGTTAGATATTTATTTACTTCCTAAAAGATTATTGTTTTAATAATATCTACAGCAAAGCTAAATCAGTCTTAAAGGTAAATATTAGATAAAAATGATTCATTTCTATTTAGGGGAGATATAAATGCCCGTCTTATTCGTTGTTTCCGAGCATATGACACCCACAATTGCGGCAGTGTGAGCAGAAATCACCTCACAAGAGTTTTGGCTAATTGCGGTTTGTTGGGCGCTTTGGCGAATCGAGAAATTGATGAGGTGAAAAAAAACTTATAAAAATTTTACTCTATTTTTATATTATTATTAAATGATGAATTGTTTTCAGATTGCAAGATGTTTCAAAGCCAAGCCCAGACAGCCAGGTCTGACTCATGCAAATTGGTGTGTCGTGGATACATGTGCTGTGGATTATATTTCCTTATTAAGAGCTTTGGAAGTATTACATGCTACCAAAAAGTATAACCCATTCAAAATGTGAAAATCAAGAGTTAAAATGGAAGAACATAATTTGTATTTAAATAATAAAAGTTTCTAGAAATATTGTTAGTAGAAATAAAATCATAAAATTAGTCCGAGACTTTTAAAACATATTTTTGAAAACTGCACTCAATTTATTGTGGTAGATTTATTTGTAAACGCTGATATGAATGGCAAGGTACCCAATGCAAACTGATCGAAAGTTTTTCAAAACTTATCGCATCCCAATATAATTTAATAATATTATGTAAGAAATTTTAATACACGGAAAAATATACAAAAATATTTAAAATTGAGAATGCGAATAAACAAAATTTTTTAAAAAAAATATTAAGAGTCATATACTGGCTAAGGATATGAATTTTTAAAAATGGCGCCAAATTCTTTGTTATGCCTGAACTAGTGTGAACAATGCAATCATTGTGCCAAGTGCAATCGTTTGACATTTCCTCATTTATTGCGTTGTTTTGTACGGTTAGTTCTGTTATTTTGAAATTTATTAAATTATTAGTGTTTATCGTTATTATGTGAGTTTGAATGTCATTTTTAATGCATATATTTTTCCAAGTTATAAAAGTTCAGTAGCAAATTAAAATAATATTTAGTGTAGTCAAATATTTATGCTTTTGCACTTTGTCGAAAGTGAGGTTATGTTTATCTTCTTGTGTTTTTCTAATATATATCCTGGTAATCTACTTAAATTAAATTCTATGTGCAGAATAAACTATAATGTATTCAAGTGTTGTTATTGCCTGCTCTACTATGTCGTTTTTGTGGTAAGTGTTTTATTTATTTTTGCTAAATGCTTAGTCCAGGAGCCATGATTATTATTTTTTATACTGTACTGTTTTTCTTCCTTTCATTTGATAAATGTTTATTTTACTTACGTGAAACGTTTATTAAAGTTTTATTTAAATAGAAAAATACGAATAGATCAGAATACATAAGAATATCAATTTATCATCATTATGACCAGCTATATTCTTTAATAATTGCTGTAAAATATTCCGCCATTTTCTCTTCAATTTAAATAAAATATGTTTACATATCATTTTGGGAACATGTAATAAATGAATGCTCCATTGTACATTTTAATATAATTTATAAAAAACGTAAAAAATAAGACATGGAATTAAAATGTCTTTATGAACTCTACGATTCTAATTAAATATTTGGATTATGCAATTTTTTTGCAAAAAGTTTTGTCATAATGTCTGCAAAAGATGCTGACCAAGATTAGTGCTTTAAGGACTTTATGTTAAAAAATGTAAATATTAATGTAAATAATCCAATAAGTATTATTTACGAAATAAGTTGTGTCATTAATAATTCGAATTAAGTTGTAACTTTTTCGTCAAGAGCCGAATTGCAAGCTGCCAACATAAAAATAAAATTGCTTTAAAGCGCTTATTTTGAAAATTTTTGTTATAGAAGGAACAGATATAAGCATATCAAATCTACTACTTCTTTGCTAATCATTATAATATATTTGTGTCTTTATTTCATTCAATATGTACATATTAATTTTATTTATTATATATTAAAAATATCGATATAAACTTACATACATGAATATGTATTAAAATAAAATAGTTTACAGAAAAATGAATACTGTTAAATTTTATGTGCTCAGTACGAGAAAAAAAGTATCACTCAAACTGAAAATAATTTTAATATTTAATAATTAACTTCAGTTACTCTTCTAACTATTACATAGGTGAAAACAAAATATTTAGTTCCATTATTTGAACAAATTTTTGTTCAAAAGATTTTTGAGATAAATTCGAAAGATCATTGATAGATGAGATTTTTTATGGATAGAAACGCATCATCTGTCTATATCTCGATGACGCCCATTTCTCTGTTAATCTTTCATCACTTTTGATGCAGTCTTGTGCAAAATATTTCATTTAGATATCGTTTTTATCCTTTGTTTGAATTATTTGATGCTAGTCATTTTTCCTCTTTCTGTAAAGGGACAATATCAACCCATACACCATTAGCTGCTTTGTGGAGCAATGATCGTGTACTAAGCTTCATGGGAATTTCTGTTTTGTCGCCAACTTTAAATTTGTACACTCGTAATATTTCACTTAAAGCTAGACGAATACTGAGCATTGCAAATCTGGCACCTGGAACAAAATATACAAAGTTTATTATTGGTAAGGTTAAAAAATGCAAATGGGAAAGGAAAGAACTCATCGGGCAATTCTGCCGTAACAGCGCTCATAAAATAGCGTTGTCATGGCAACGCTCTCTTATGCTTGTTCTTGGAATTGAAAATTACGAAATTTTCCATCTATTTACCGTGGGATCAGGTGTATTTTACATATAAACAAGCAAAGAATAATGTTCTGATAACAGAATTCTAGATGGTGCAGCCATCATAAGATTATTCTTTGCTCGTTTATATATATAAAATACGCCTGCTCGCACGGCAAATATTATATACTGTCTTCTGCCCCACCAACGATCGTCGGAGTCTGAATTCTCTATTCAAGGTCAAGTGGTAAGTCACGCAATATTAAATAGGAAAGAGAAGGAATAGGGCCCAGTTGAAAAATAGATGTCGCAAATATTCTATGAAAGGAGACGGTTCGTTTATAAAAATTGTTTTAAAATATTATAATTAAAAATATATGTAAATATATATATATATATATATATATATATATATATACAAATGCATACCCTGTGCTATGGATAAAATGTGTAAATCTTTGTCTTTCTTTTGATAGATAAACATTTTCATAATTTTCAATACCAATAAATCCATTCCTAGAACATTTAGCATCGTATCTTATGCAATAATTCATATGTCAATTAATTTTGCAGTTTTTAAATATGATTATTCATTTATATACAAATAATGTAGAAGTAATGTAATCACCTATACAATTGCGTGGACCTGCACCAAATGGAAGATAAACGTATGGAGATCGTTTTGCTTTTTCTTCTGGACTAAATCTTTCCGGATCATACCTTAAAATATAAAATCGTTTCAAAGAATTAAGCCAAAGCTCATTGGAATAGTTAAGGAGTTAGTCATAAAATAAGCACCTGTTTGGTTCTGGAAAATGTCTTTCATCAAAATGCATTCCGATGACGTTAATAGAAACTATATCACCAGGTTGCAAAATTAGTCCTGTTGAAGGGTCCAATTCATAAGATGCAGTTACAGAGCGATCTAGGCGTGCTACTGTAGGATGCAAACGCATGGCTTCTGCAAAAATATAAAAACTAACTTTAGATACTAATCATCTACCTGAGTCGATTGCAAGAACAAACTTGTAAATAGCAAGAAAAAAAATTTCCTACACAGGGTGCAAAAAAATCCTTTATGGCTTTTACCTAATATAACCATTTCTAGATAAGGCGAATCATGTCCCAATTCTGCAGTTTCTTGCCGTACTTTTTCTTGAATCTCTGGATGTCTTGCAAGCTCGTAGGCAGTACTTGAGAGTGCTGAACTTGATGTCTCGTAACCGGCTATCATGAATAATAAGGCTTGAGCAACCAGGACCCGGTCATCACTCAATACTGCGCTCTCCTCCGTTCCTGATGATGCAGCATCTAGTAGAAGTTGAAGAAAATCGTTTCTCCTAAAAGATATTTTAGGTAAGAAACTTAGTCAAAGGAAAATATCAACTGAACAAATCCAATTTATTATTTCCTAAAATTATATATCACCTATTTTTGGTATCAAGTTCTCGGTATTTTCTTGTCTGTATCACAACTTCTGCCAGAAATTGTAAAGTTTCATGATGAAACATGTTGAGAGGGACGTATCTGGCTAATCCTGGCCAGCAGATCATGACAAAGAAAATCAGGAAGCGTTGGGGAATGCTCACTTCATCAATATGGGAAGCCCGCTATAATAAAAAATAATTGTAAACAGTATGGTAAATAACAGTAAAATTTTGAAAATTGAAAAAAAAATCTGGGAAAAATTAGATTTCTGAATAGTAGAAAATGGTATAATTTTTTTTCGGAGTTTTGCAAGAAAAATTCTCACTTGGATGAAATCTGCATTTGGATTTGTTAAAGAATCACATTGGACTCCGAAGGCACAATTGGCAATAATGTCCATTGCATAGCGTCCAAACAAATCTTTTAAATCTACACTGTGCCCATTTTTACCTGCAAATAAAAACGATGAAAAATATTATTCAGTAATCATCTTAAACCGAAATGTTAACGAAATTCTCAGATGTGAAGGATTTGTTCATAGAAACAATTTGCTCAGCGCTAGTGGGTCATTTATGAATTGATGATTTTTTATTAAAAATTTAAATATTTTACCAGTTACATCACGTTCGTCCAGAAACTGAACGATTTGCTTAGCACTGTGCCGCAAAAGTTCAGTCATGGCTCGAATTTTCCCACTGCTGAAGGTTGGAGTCATAACACTACGAACTTTTTTCCAATGTGTACCCTGGAAAAAATTAATTTTTATAATCACCAAAAAAAATAATGATTATTAGAGTCAAAATAGAATTCTGCGAGGATTTTAAGAAACAATATTATAAAGTTGTAAGGAAGACTATTTTAGCCATTAAAATATGTACTAAAACTCAAAAAATTTATCGTGCTAATTGTTGAAAAGTGAATCATTGCAAAGTATCAATAAAAGATCATGAAATATATCATGATCTATGAAGAGGTAAACTTTGGATATAATGATTAAATAAGAAGAAATCTAGCGTGATTATTTTAAAGATGAGATGAAATTAAAACTATTTGAACAATAAGGAAGAATATACTAAGATGCAGGTTCAATACCCCTATTTTTATGGAAAGCAAAACACGCTCCTTTATCTAAAATACCAAATTATTTCTCTCTCAAACATTACAAAATGAACATTTGTATTATTATTATTATTATAACATTAGTCACTCAAAACTTTCGTAAATGCTGAAACATTTGTTTGTTCCGCAAACCAATAAAAAATATTTATTGCATATAAAATTACTAACCTATCAGGAAGCAATGAAGTTGCTCGAATTATTTCAATTACATATTGTAGTTCCTAATATTTATCGATATCATATAACATTGCTGAATTTCAATTCTGTTCATATTTTAAAAGTATAATTTCTTGTATAATTTTATTTTAATGTTATCATGCTCTATCAGGAAGCAAGTTATACGTTCATCTGCACATTTAAATTTCAAATTTATTCAACAAATAATAATAAATCGGCATTATAAATTCTTGAATAACATAACCCAAAATTTGTTGAGATCTATAAATATTAATTACCTTCAAACTTATTAACATATGTCGTAAATAATTGTCTTCTCGTAAGTCAAGAGTTGGTCTATCACAGAAATAGTCGAAGTCCTTGATCAAAACTGTTCGTACTAATTCTTCGTCGATTAGCATCAGTAATCTTCTGGCTCCTTCATAATATCCTATCAATTATAAAAAAATCAAAATAACACTTAACAATATGTACACTTGTTTCTGTGGATATTTGAAATTTTATGTTGATTTCATGAAAGTCATACTGGCATTGAATTTCAATAATTATCAGAAATATTATTTTAAGTGCAGCTATATTAGAAAATACTTCAGTAAATTAAGAAAAATCTGTTGTTCATTGATAATAAAAAAATTGATAAGTAATACAATTTTTGAAACTAAGATTCTCAAAATAACGACTAACCAAATTCACTTTAAGGAACTTGCCAACTTTTCAGGAGAAAATTTTGAATTTTATTTGTAGAATTTGGTGTATTGATTTTTACCTAATTGCTCAATTTCACTTAATTAGGTACATATTAGTTTTCTATATGATTTATGATACACTTAAGAAGACAACCCAATATTCAAACATATATTAATTTTCATAATGAAAGTATAATGATTTTATTAATATTCAAAGTCTCGTTCTACCTAGTCCGTCATTTAATATTTGAATTAAATTATTTACATTATAATTATATAATTTATCTTCCAGAACAGATATGCAAATGATATTTTTTATTGATTAATATAAGGTCAATCAAAGAAAGCATCAGTTCATATGACAATCCGGTTTTTATAACGCCACTGTCAATTTTTTGAAAAGTTGTTCCTGCCTGAATATATAGAACTAGTCAATAATTTAGAACAAATATAAAGTAGTCATTTTAGGCACTTGAATTGCCTTAGATTTTTTTTATAAATTTTATAAAGAAAGATCTTCTTTCGACTGTTCTATAATTAAAAATAAAGTCCAATTGCTTGATTTGCAGAATTTTTAGCTAAAAATTTAATACTGATTTTAAGAATAAGTTCATTGTTTTCTATTACATTATTATTTAAATAATTAACTTCCCGTAGGCAAGCTATAGTAATCGCAAAAAAATCGAAAATGAAAATTTTTATAGATCTTCACGTTTCAAAACCTTCTGAACATTTTGGCATACTTTAGAAAAAATGAATGTATGTGTGTGTGTGTGTGCGTGTATGTATGTATGTTCGGATACAAATTTTTGTCAAAGATTTCGGGAACACGGATCAACCGATTTGAATAATTCAAAAAACATTCGATTCGTATTGATAAGGAGACGTGCTGATTAGTTTTTGGCGAAGGCAGGTCTAGCCGTTCCGAAGATAGTGGGCAAAAAGTGCCGAAAACTGTAACTCAGTTTTTAAGAGAACGGAGCGTCCGATTTGGATAATTCAAAAAACATTTTATTTGTATTATTGAAATAAAGAATTGTTCAAATTTTTGGAAAAGCAGGTGCAACGACTTTGGAGATATGGAGGAAAAAGTAAAAAAATGAGCCATTTGGCGGTCAAACATGAACATTAGACATATGCACATCAGAGTATCAATTATTTTATATAAATTTTAATAATGAATACAAATATTATATTGTTTTTGTTAATATTTTGTCTCTAGAACAGGTACGAAGCGCGGTCGCGCTGTCATTTTAGTACGAGTTTGTTGGAGCAGAGGGTGCAAAAAATGATCATGCCGTTTTTGAGTAAGCGAGTAAGCGAATTATTCAAATCGGTTTGAAATTCTATCAAAAGTTTCAAATCATTGAAATGATCCACTTTTATTGATTATTATTGATTATTTTTATTTACTCGAATTTTGAATTGCGGTACGGGAAGTTCCAGCAATTTGCCTTAAGGCACGATGCCCTAATTGCCTTAAGACAGAATTCCACTTACAGCTAGTTTAAAATTGTGATTCGAATTTACCTGCGTATCTATATTCCTTCATCTCATCATACAATTCCTTCTGCATTTCGTGAAACGAGCACCTCATTGTAAGACGTTTTCCCAAGTTTCCCAGGAAAATCATTGGAGGCACCGGAACCGCCACACCACGATTTTGCCAATACTGCTGCGCCTCCTTGGATCTGCGGTAGCACCACATGAAAATGGCCAATAGGGCTGCCAATATTAGGCCGACGTATGCCATTCTGGGAAAAGACTAAAGATTAATTTAAACTGATATATATTATTATTAAAGGTATGATGAGATTTGTTTTTAAATCGAAAATGATGGCGGCACTTAGGAAAACAGGAATTTCAAGAAAAGTCACTACTTGTGCAATTATGATATAATTGGATATAAGAACTAAATGCAATATTCTGCAAAAAAGAGGAAACATATACTCAATTTGTAGAAGAAAATAACACCATTAGTTTGTTGCTCTACAAAAGACTTGCACTTTACCATATGTTTCCAATAATTGTTTTAGTCCAGTCATTGTAGTAAGTTCACCTCGGAATTCGAGATACCTAACTGTAAGTCTGTAAATACACCCTAAAGTTGTCTCAAAACCTACATATGGTATTGACACTCTACCATATGTAGGTTTTGAGACAACTTTTAAGGTGTTCAATATACAAGTATTTATAGACTTACATCTGGGTATCTCGAATTCCGAGATTTTTACCTAATTTAAGCTTAAATGACTGGACTATTTTGAAAATAATTCTAGAGAAGACAAAAAGTAACAAAATTTCAAGATTCTGCAAGAACAAAAGTCTACTGAACAATTCCGAGAAAAAACAAGCTATCATGTGAAAAGTATAAGAAACATTTATATAGGTTAAACTGGTGAGCTTTTTATTTTCTTCGTGATTATCGTGATTTTATCAGCATTTATAATCAGCTTTCTTCAGATACCTTTTTCAATATTTTAATGCAATTCTGGCTGTATAGTACGTATCTAACAAAATACTACATAATTTTAAAACTGGTGGTGCATGGCATTGTGCCTTAAGACAAATTGCTTGAACTTCTCGTACCTTAATGAAATATTCGAGGAATATTACATGTTTTCAAATAAATTATTATAAATAATGTAACTTTCTTTATTCTTATTTTATAAAAACTAAATAAACAAAACTTATTCAATCGAATTCAAAATGAAAAACATTGTCTAATATTCCTAAGTATTACATGAACTGAATTGCAAAGTTAAAATTATTTATTTGCAGTATATAAGTGATATGTAGAACTTTAGCTTAAATTAGAATTAAAATTAAAAAAAAATTAAATAAAAAAAAATTAAATAGAAATAAAAACAATTTCTTTCCCCAAAAGCAATCGTTTCGTCAACACAAGCTGAAAGTTTTTTAAATAATTTAAATCGGATACTTAATTCTGTCTAAAACTACCATTTTTGCACATTTAGCTCTATATCTCCGAAAAGTCTGGACCTGCCTTTGCCAAAATCCAATCATCATTCTCTCCATCATTACGAATCGAATATTTTTTGGATCATTCAAATCGGTTGAGCTGTTCTTTTAAAAACTGACATTTTTAAACTTTTTGCTTCATATCTCCGTTAGCGCTGGACATGCCTTTGCCAAAAACTAATCAGCACGTCTCCTTATCAGTAGAAATCGAATTCAATTTTTCAAAATGGAATTATTCAAATCAATTGATCCGTGTTTGTGAAATTGTTCACACACATACAAACAGATTTATTTTTTCTAAGGTGTAACAAAATGTTCAGAAACCTCTAAAACGTGAAGATATATAAAAATCCCTACGGGAAGTTATAATAAGCTTATGATATAGTATTAAACGTAAATATATCTTGCGACATTTCTGAATGTTTTTTCTCAATTATATAGGTAATACAAGTTTTTAATCCATTACGAATACTTAAAAATTCACGCACTACTTTCATGAATAATAATTACTTAATGTATGTAAAACGTAATAATTAATGCGTATTTCAATTTTAATCCATAAATATATGCTAAATAGGTTTCTAACGCCAATTAAATTTTTTAAACGAATTTAAGTTTTGTTTCGAATTTATAACGAATGATTATTTCATTGCCCTGAAATAAAAAGAAATAGCAATTCGAATAAAAAGCTTACAGTCTTCTTGTTAAATTTGGATTTTGGAATAGACAAATATGAATTTGAACTAAACTTGAAGCAACTACTGATATATTTTTATTTTAACTTGTTCCTTTTATTCCTTAAAAATCATACAATGATTTCTTCACACATGTTTCTATTTATATACTTTTATATATATGCAATTGCAAAAATATAAATGATAGAACTGTTATGTCTTTATTATTTATTACAGCATAACTATTATAAATTTTATTATAAACTATATATCATGATTGGAATCGTTTCAAGACGTATTTTTAAAGTGGTTGTTAATCTACAAGCAGTGTTTTATTGCAGTAAAATGAAAAGTACAAATTGCATTGTTATTTTTAAGAAATTAAACATTACGCATTCATCTGCTACAATACAATTTCTCTCAGTGATAGTATATAATTTCTATCATATTATAATTTGCGAGAGACCAAGTGGAACGGAGAAATCTAAACCAAAAAACTTGGGAAAACCTCTAACTAAGGTATTAAGAGAATTATCTACATGTACAATTTTACTCCATCAGAAATTAACTACTCAAACAAAAGTATAAAAACAGGCAGATAAAAAAAGTCCTAATGACCTATTTTAAGTGTACTAAAAAGTAAAATTTATTTCATCCCACTTTTTTGTACTATCATCACTGTAAAGAATTGCATCAAATTATTATAGTTATTAAACTTATTACTTAATTATTAAACAAGTTTTTAAACTTATTTTCTGTATTTAAAGAACAATTAATTCAATGTCTTATGTAGGCAGATGACTAAACAAATAAGAAAAAAATATATAGGGGATAGAGGGGCTATATGTAACTGGGGTAATTAATAACAGACATTTCTGAATAGCATCTTAAATTATATTAAAATATGTTTTAAATTGTTATAAATTTTTCTGCTTGCAATTAATTTAAAATTTTATAATTCTATCTTATTAACTTTCCGTAGGGTAAGTTATAGTAATCGCAAACAAATCGAAAATGAAAATTTTTATATATCTTTACGTTTTAGAGGTTTCTGAACATTTTGGCATACCTTAGAAAAAAATGAATGTATTTGTATGTGTTATGTGTGTGTCAGCTACGCAGCACGACTGCTTAAAAAATGTTCAAAATTTTCAGAAAAAATCAAAATATAAAAAAAAATCTTTTTTTTTGATTATTTCAAAGTTTTGCAAAGGTTTTTTTATTGATTTAGTTTTCGGTACGGGAAGTTCCAGCAATTTGCCTTGAGGCACGATGCCATGCACCATTAGTTAGTATTGGATTTATCACCCTTCATGTCAATAATGCAATATATTTCTCAGAAATATTTTTCACCATTGTGCCAGTATGTTTCATTTTTTCTACATTACAGTAATTGTAAACCTTAAAAATTGGTTTCTTCCGGTTGATGTCAATCTTTAATCAATGCCCAGTGGCGTCCAAAAATGGATTGCAAATCTTAAAAGTTTTGATTATTTTGCTTTGATTTAATGAACTTGATTTCATTTTATAATAAATGCATTTTTTGAGACTTTTTCAACGCCATTGTAAGCGATGCTTCAAATTTATCGTTTTGCTGATGGCTATTTACAAACCATTTTGAGATAAAACTTCCTATTTACGACACCAAAAGTGGATCTAATGCAAATGCTCTAAATTAAACGCAGAAAGAAAGTATGAACACCAATTAACATGTTTAGTGTAACAGTCCAACGAACCTCAAAAGTTGCATGTGATGTGATGTCTATCTAGAAAGAGAATGAGAATGATCTGGTATGATGGCAAGTCCATTGCACGAACTTGTAGCTCCGGTTTTTTTTGAAACTATTAGTTTTTTGTTTTGGATATACTCATAGAAAAATGCGCACAACTGTATACATATAAGTACAAGCTGTAATTTGCATTTAGCCAAAAGGCAAATAATTTACTAAACCAATGAGATAACGGTATAAAGTTAATTGATTTATTTTTTTATTTTTGCAGATTGTTGAATATTGTACAAATTTGAAAAATATGCTGGTTATATTCGAAAAATAGTTGAAATGTTATAAATTTTGTCTCACATACATTTTTGCTGTGAAGTGATTCAGAACAACTTGAAACGTCGAGAACATATAAAATTAGTAAATCGGATTATCAGACAACAACATAAACGTCTTCTTCGAACATATATAATTAAAATATTTCAATATTTTTTATGGAAGTAGTAGACTTAAATTTCAGGACAGGTGAACTGATGGATAGGCAATCCGGTAGACAGGTAGACAGGATAGAAAGGTTGACAGGCTGATAAATAGACAGATACATAGGTAGACAAGTAGACAGGTCGACTGTTAGCCTGGCAAACAGGTAGCAGGTAGACGGGTAAACAGGTAGATAGGTACAAAAGTAAACAGTTGAACAGGAAAACAACTATAATGTAAGGTAGGTAAATCGCACAAAAATCATATATTTATTGATTAAATCGATTATTCACACATATCGGGAAATTTGTGCAACTTTTTTAAGGCAAAATGCCACTTACACTTAGTTTCAATTATATTTATGAAAGCATAAAGTAACTTATCATTTTTTTAAATACACTGGCTAACATTTTCTTTAAAAAATACAGTAAATCTGCATTTTTTTATATAATGATATCTTTATAGATAGTTATATGACATTGTAGATTTATATCGTAGATACTCTACATCTAATTAATTTTCTTAATTACAACGCATATTTTAAACTCGATCGGTAATTTCATGTCAATATATACATAGGTTTCAAAGATGCAATTTCAACATCTTTTTCTTATTTTGTCCTTTCAATCAATAATTGCATTCTCATTGGAATCCAATCATCATTCAGCTTAATGTTCACCTTCCTCACAGAGAATTTTATAAAAACCATTAAATTTACAATAAGATGATAAAATATATCAGAGGGAAATTTAGGTTAATTTTGCGTTGCTGATGAACATAACGGTTTGCTGGAAGATTGTTATCATAACATAGAATAAAATATTAGTTTGGCTTTCTTGTTTTGAAAATGAAAATATGAAGAAATCACTCTGTAATTATACATGCTTTTTATATAA